GAAGCCGGATGTCAAAGAGAAGGGCAAGCAGGATGTCGAAATGGCCGCAGTCGGGCATGATGTGGAGCATGCAATTGACGTGGACATGGAGGTTGGTCTGACAATGGGAAAGGGGAAGTCCGAGGGTGGTATCGACATAGAGATGGCCGAAGTCAAACATGAGGAAACTGAGGTCGGTGCCATTCCAAAAGCCGACAAAGATGTGGGCCGGGTGACTCCCACCATAATCATTGAGCCACCCACACCACACACATCAGCGATTTTCAAGAGCACTGAGACCGAGGTCGGTACCAACACTGACAAAGGAAAGGGCCAGGAGATTGGGCCGCCAGCCAGTGAGATGGAGTGGATCGTGCCTGAGTTAGCAATGCGGCCAGGTAAAAAATTCATGAAACTCGTTATTCTTTGCTGACTTTGTTTATAGAATTGGGCTTGGCTGTCAATTATATGCAACAAAGCTTTACACCCCCACCTGTTGAGCGCACGTCCCGGCCAGAAGGTTCGCGTTTGGTATCCCGTTCTCGGCAGGTCAGCCCACCAGATCCCAAGGAGGTTCATCGTAAGTTTCAAGTTGTTTTCTCATTTCCCATGATTCTCAACTTGAAAACTTAGTTGACACAGCGCTCTATCAGAAGAAGATTGACTTTAGGTCCTTGAGCCCCCCACCGAACTTCGACATGCAGACGATGCAGCAGGAGATCAGAAGACTTGCTCATGGCCAAGCCGACCTCCTGCAGAAACTCCGAGACCAACAAGCGCAAGTCAGCGTCATGGAGTCGTCTACCCCTACTATGCGAGAGTATTCGGCATTTGTGGTCCGAAAACAAGATATTGACGCAAGTGCCCTTCTCCCCCTGGCAGTTGACTCACCCGTGACCCTGTCACAACGTCTTTTGGCGCTCGAAGAGATTACCCAGTGTATTCAAGATCAAGATTTGGCTAGCCGTCCTCTGTCGGAGAAAATTGCAAGTCTAGAGACCTCCATTTGGTTTGAGGAAGAAAAAATCACCAGAGCAACTCGCCGGATGGACCGTATTGAAGAGTCTGCCTACATGCGTTGGAAGGAAACACAAGAAGATTTGCAGTCCATCCGAAGTGATCACCAGAGACTGGAAGCCGAGGTGAGGGAAGCCGTCAAGACACTGGAGAACAAGTGGGAGACTACGCCAGCTGCGTTACAAGAGAGTCTCACCCGGGGCTTTGAGAAACTTGCAAGCCGCATCGAAACTGCCGAGCTAACGCTCCACGACCTCACCAAATCAGTCACTACTATTTCGGAGCTCAACCTGCGGCTCGGTGCTCGCC